CGTAACAAAGCGAGGAAAAACGGGTAACTGAAAGTTGGAGGATATAAAAGACGAAAGAGTGCTGCAACAGAAAATGAATACTCCAGTGTACAAAAGACGTAAAAAAAAATTGGAGAGATGATGCAGTGAGGGAGAAAAAAAAAAATGATGGAAGAAGCTGAGGGGAGAAAAAAGGAATTACACTATCTTCCACGTCCGACCGGGATTTAAATACCTCGCGGGTAATACGTCATTCTCGAGCAGACGGATTCTATTCCGCTTGTACGATCACGTGACTCGACTTTCCTCGGTGAATTTACCCGGTGAAAATATCAGTGGAAATTCTTGGAGAGCATCCGCTGGTCGATGATGAGTTTAGCATTAAAATAAATCCCCAGTGGTGGAATTGGGAATGGAATATTGTCAAACGTCTCATGCAATTATTCAAATTTTGAGTGCCACATTTTACCGGAGTTTCCGGTTGTATTAAAAAAAAATTTCTGACGTTTAACTCCAATTCTCATCCCCTCGACTCAACACTGCAGGTTCATTATGGACTAAGTGACGCGTAATAATCAGTTTTAGGGTTTAGAGAACGGGTATGATCGACAGCGAGGCGTGAGGCAATGCGTGTTGATAATTACCCTGAGGAAGTGCAATTTATCCTGTTGAGGGATTAGCTCAGGCACTTAGACACTTGGAGGAAGTATGAATATAGCTTTCATGAAATTCTCCATTTTTCATTTCTCCTCCAATTATCCTCTATTTTTTTACAAAACACCGTGAAATGAATTTTTATTCACCGAAAAATCAATAACGAATTATTCTCATTCTCATTAATACCAATAACTAATAATAATTAATCACTAAATTAATTACGAAAAATTCTGGGATGAATCCACGAGGAGAATTTCGGTGTTATCATCATTTTCTTGGATAACGGAATTTTCCACGAATTTTCAGCGACAATCACCTGATGAAGGACGACAGGAACTTGAGTATTTAACTGGAATAGCCTGACCCCCGATGATTTCATTATCGGAATGAGATCGAGAGGCCCTGATCCTCCCGCCCTCATTACCGTTTCCATTGAAGGTGATAAGCCAGGCGCAAGTGTGAAACGCAATTGTCCTTATCAGGTCGAGCTAATCCCCTCAACAATCGTAACGCAAAGTGTTTTCACCGTTTGCCAAACGATAACATACGGTACCCCATTTTTATTATAACATTTTCATCGCAATGCCAACAGGAAATGCAAATTGTCCGAGGGGTGGATGCTATTTCCAAGCTGATGCTGCCAAACAATTCCTGTGGCTTTCCAGAAACCGATCATCTCTGGGCTACATCCGAGAAACCAAGAAGATGCCATATCGCTTGCTCAGCCAGCTGAGGTACTACCCAGTACTCATCCCACCGTAACTAATTACCATAATTATCGAATCCTACACACGATTCCAGTCCGTTCGTTTCCCTTCCAAGCCCTTTGTTCCCAGTGAAAAGCATTTTTTTTTTTTATTTCCTCTCGTTGCAAAACCCGCAATTCCGCAGCTGATGTTCCCCATTCATTCATTTTTTTATTTAAATATTCCTCGGGATATTTCCCCTGCAGATGCCCCAAGAAAATCTTGCAATTATCCCGACTGAATGGATAAATTGGATTTTTTTTTGATCGAAGTAGGGAGTGCAATTAATTTCAGTACCAATTTTTATCTTTTTGGTACATCAGCGACTTTATTTTTCCGTGGGGTTGAGTTGTTGCTTGGGCTGTCGGTAATTTAGCTAGGACTCCCTGTCATCTACGTTAATTACCAAACTATGGAAATGACGTCGCGATCTTGTGGGTTTCGTGCCAGAACTGTTGCTCCAGCATTGTACATGTTCTGTGTACATGTATATATTTGAAACATCGGCCTACAACTTCTCTCTTGGACGGAATTAATATGCAACGTGTACACCAGTGCTTCACGAACCACTTGGCACTTTGACGGAATAAATTAGCGAATCGTATGCAACGAGGAAATGCCCAGGTGACTCCAAATCGGTGGCCATTTTTTATACAGTATTTGAGAAAATTCCGGAAAGATCGCGGATGCGGGAGAAATTTCCGGGCTCAATGTCACAACACAAAATTCCCCTGGGAATTTTTGTAATTGATCCCTTTATCAATTAATTATCTCGGTATTTTTTCTCTGATTAATTAAAAATTTTAAGTCGCTTCAAAGGCAATCCGTGTAATGAGAGCTTTCATTATAGTAATGTACCCGATTTTTTTGCCGATTTTTAAGGCTCTTTTCAGGAAAGAGCATCAACCGGGGCATTATGCTCACGATCAAGAAGAGAGACCGAAACTCAGCGTAATGAGCTGTAATGACTCCATAAACCGAAAAAAAAATGTCTTCATGAATGGCTCTAGTCACGAAATCAAGCGATTTACCCGGGAGTCCTGATACGACTCCTAAAAACCCCATCAAACGCAATCATCTGAGTGTCAATCACCCATTCGAATTTAATTTCAAGAATCTCGAGATATCGAGGAATATTTCGAGAATCTCGAGATATCGAGGAATATTTCGAGAATCTCCAGATATCGCAATATATTTCGAGAATCTCCAGATATCGCGATATATTTCGAGATCGATTTTCATTCTTATCCTTTTTATATTAGGCGATGAGCAAATAATTTCAGAAGTAATTTATTCATAATATCAAAATAGCAGAATGATTCCTGAATTTCGCATGCCACCAGCAGCCTGTGCACCTACGATAGGTGGAAATATCGTGTACCCCAAATGCAAACCGTTGAACAATCAATCACTAAATTGCCACAGCCGCTGGTGGCACAGAACATTCAGCATGGAACTTCATGGGATCAAGGGGGAAAACCCCCCAGGGGGTGAGCAATTTATCAGTCTAATCGTGGGAGGAAGTGATTCCCCCTGCTGTACCAGAGAAAGGACCATCATCCACGGGTGTTTGGCACGTTCCATATGTCCAGGAAGCAACCAGGTGCATCCACAAACCCACCAGAACCCCCAATACCACTTCTGCCACTGAATTGTTGTTTGGAATTCACCCACGCGACACGCGATATCACAGCTGTCGCTACTCTGATCGACAAAGTTTTCCATTTTTTTTATTTTCATTTCGGGGGTTTTATTCCGAGTTTTTTTGTGACTTCCGCCCCGCTGTGACAACCGGAAACTTTGCATTCGCCTAACCCTTTGAGCTCAGGAGTTTTTTTATCGGCAGAAAATAACTCTACAAATCGAGAAATGGAGATCCAGAAGAAGAAAATATAAATACCACAATTGAATATTAATTAATCTCAAAAACTACGGGGTTCACGGGGAAATATGAAGAGACCTTTTTTGTGGGGAATTTAATTAGCTATAAATGAAATCCTGTAATGTTTCTCGTCTGAGTGGATAGTTTTCCAGGTAAAGTCTGAATTCCAGGAGATTGCGTCGTGGGGTGGAGACAGGTGGACGAAGTGAAGAAAATAGAAAGGAAAATCGAGTGTTCACGGCGATATCCTCTCGAATTCTTTCGACTACGATAAACAAAAAGATAAGAAAACAATTTGAGATATTTTGACAAGTTTGAGGGACCAAAAGTTTAGTTTCTCAAACAGTTTGCTTCACTTTCTCAAGTTGTCGTCACATGTTTTCATAATTCCCTCTATTTTCTATCATCATTACAAAGTTGAATGTTTATTATTGACTCATTCCCCCAGGGCAACTGCACTCGGTGCTGTTTACTTCTCTTGTTGATGAAACGTTTGATATCTCAAGTGAACCCACCTCGTTTCTCCTCGTCTTACTCAGCAAGATAATTTCAAGATAGGAATAGATAACTCTGGGATTTATATCCCCAAAGCCATGGGAAATATCCCTCGAGCTCCAGTAGAAATAATTCCCGATTGAAACTCTTGATTGAAAGTAACGGGTTTACGTGACTCTGCGGAGGATACACTCTCCATTCCCCAATATATTCGCGAAGAAAATATACCCTTGGAAATCAGGTCGACTCCGTCAAATTTTCCCACAGACCACCTCGAAAATTCATTCCAAAAATGACGAGAAAAACGACTTCCCCATAGAAATAATAATAAACTGTTTTATGGCATCCTAGGACTCGTTATGGCCTCCATGAGTCTGTGTACTCGGAACCCGCAAAAGGGGAGTTGCGTGTTTGGCGACTTCACGCGACCCCATTCAATCACAAATGTAGATTGCTGGATTAACGAGAGTGATAAAAAAAAAACTAGAATTTATACAGGAAGAAATATAGAAAGAAAAACTCAACAAAAGCTCATAACGTCGACAATAAACCCTCAATAACGTCAGCGCAAATGCGCGAATTGATCGGCTGAGCCCACGTTGTCACGATTAAACTTTATCCAGCGTGAATTTACTGGTTGCATATATCCAAGTGGGTGGACACCCAGTGTTACTGGGTCGATAGGGATGCCTAGTCGATAGTGCAAACGTGCTGGATGGAATTTATGATCCTACCATGCTCCAACGAATTTATCATCCCATGCTTGGCGCCATCAGATTGCGCTTTAAAAATTCCTAAAGTCTCCAGTAATACGATCCGACATATCCGTAAAACTAATGATCAATTTTTCAGAAATTACCCCTATCAGTCCGATTTACGAGCTACTAACGTCATAAATTCAGGTCACAATCTCTAAATAACAAATTCAGCGACGAAGTGGCAAGAGAAGATCACCTGACTCACGTCATCGGTTCATTTTTCATAAATATCTCCGGAACTGAGGGACACAACGAAATTTTTGTTGATACATTTTTTGTAAAGATTATTGCGAGCTGCAAATAAAGTCATTACGATAATTGCGGTATCTCCCGTAGTTTCGGAGATATTCGTTGTTTAGTATGGAAATGTTGCGTTTCGATATTTCGGTGGTGAATTGTCCATCATTTGTCAACCGAATCACGAGATGAGACAAGAGCGATCAAAACATGATTAAGTAGTTTTGTTATACAGGCTTAACTCACTTTTTGTGCTTTGCAGGCAGCAGCCAAGGGGAGTACATCATGTGGATGTGCAGCATGACGATCACGTAGACAATTGGAGCACGCGGCATTCTTGCAGAGTGCACAATAAAGGCTGACAGTCTCTCCATTATGATCACCACAAATTGGAGCACCATCGGGCCCAGTGGGTCTAGTCCCCTTGGTATTTGACTGCCAGCTGGCACGGGGTGGGCCCAGATTATGAGCTGCAAGAGGACCCCTCAATGGATGACAAGACTCCCTGCATTGATCACAATAGAGGACCTGAAATAGCCCACAATAAAATATCCATTATTTACTATTACATTCAATTGTAGAAATTCTCCTCTACCAAAACCTTCGATTCTACACGTGAAATAATAAGAAGTCTTTGTCATAAATTTATCTCGTCAAAATAAAATAATAATCACTGATAATTTACTGAAGAAACTGAGATATCGATTTTAATAATCCTGACAAAAAAATATGAAATTCCTCCAAGAGACTCTCAATTTTGAAATGATTAATGATTTCTCCACGTCAAATCCCCGATTTATCTCGAAATCAGACATCACTAGCGATCGTGATGTCTGAAATACTGTGGAGGATTTAAAATCGGTTGAGACGGCTGAAACGGTTAAATAGAAAGCCAATTTAATTAGACCGTTGGTATCAGCACACCACCGCAGCAGAGGATCTCTTTCCTCAGCTTAACTCCCACCGACTAATTGAATGAGCTGATTACCCAGCTGACCAATCCCTCACCCCCTCGAGGAATAACATCAATTAAATTCTCCGGATGATAAATAACTCAGGGTGAAGGAGGTACTTGGGAATTCAGTCGGCGTGTGCGAAAAAGAAAGAGTCAAGGAAAATAGGGAAAAAATTTGAGAGAATTGATCGTACCTCGCACTGCTCGCAGGCGACGCTTGCTTCCCTAGGTTCACCCTCGCACATCTGGCACTGTAGCCTGACATTTCTCGCCTCTTGATATTTATCAACGATTCTCTGCATCGCCCGGTATTTCGGCAAATTGTGGGCACCGCCCTCGTCGAAGTAAACATTTTTATGGCAAACCGGGCATGACAGACAGAGAGTACCACCCGATGGTGGAAAACAATTGCCATTGCCAGGTGTTCCAACGTAACTACCCGGTCTTGAGCTAGTTGATGTGCTGCTGCAGACAACACCAGAGTCTGTCTCAGAGAGGATTGATAATTTGTCGGCCTCTTGGTCTGATCCTGGAGCATTCGAGCAATCGGTTGTTGATTCAGGTGGTGAATCAGGTGGTGCCTGAAGATTTACAGCACATGACAGACAGAGGGCATGCCAACAAGGGAGCAACACTGGTTCTGAGAAGAGCTCCTTGCAGGATGGACAACGTAACTCGTCCTCCATTGTTTATATTATTATTAATATTCCCTAACGAGGAAGTCCCTGGCCCTGACCCTGTCACCAGGTGGGCTGTCGGGAATTAATATATATATTTTTTGTCGTCCAGACGATTGGAGGAATTTGTTGGCAAGTTCAGGCACGTGGAGGTCGCCTGAATGCGGCTTTCCTGCAGTGGCCCTCTTACAGACCGGTTGGACTATGGGAATGTGCGGATTACCTCGTCTGACCAATTCACGGAACTATTCACTTTTGATGATATTATCTTTGCACAACACTCGTCATACACTCTCGCGGACACGTGTCACTTGACATTTCCGGTGTCTACATTTTTGGGGGGCGGATTGGCGGGTCGGCACTTACACTCGGATGCACGGATTTTAGGATTAGAAAACAAAACACTGACGCGATGTAGCACGTGAAGGCAGCGCAGCGGTACTGGAGAGCCGAGGGTTGACTGACTTCGGTTCAGAGTCAAAGAACCGGCGCGCAACGCCGCCACGCACTCACCACCGACCAGGGCCGAACACACTTCGGGTACCTTCGCCCTAAATTACGGGAGTATCAAATTTTATTTCGAGTTTCCCGGTTATTTCTCTCATTTTTTTATATTTATTTATTATAAATAATTATTAAACTGTTAGGCTTTTGTTGTGGGGTTTTCTCATTGGCCCTGGACGTAATGGCGGTACAATTGAAATTGGAGTAGAACACGAAATGGGAAACCCGAAGATATGGATGGAGTAAAATTTAAAAAAAATTATTAACCTGAGAGAAATTTGTCGAGATTCCAGTCATGATGATTTTTAATTACATGGGCTTAAATCCGATTTTGATTGAGAGTCTTCAGTGAATTCCGCGGTATTTTTGAAAATTCAAAACTCAGTGTAATTTGGGAGCAGTTAATTTATTGATAATTAATAATTATCTATCGATTGTCTGATTCTCTAAAATTTCAAATTACGAACTATCTCTCCGTAAATTCTAGGTCATCCCAAACACTAAAACTATTTTGATCTCGTTGCTAGAATTGGGATGACATCAACTGGCTCCAAAATTAAATCAGAGATGTAACGCCCCGGTATTTTCATTAAAACAAATGGAGTGACTCCGATTTCCCGACCGAGTCATTGGAAAAAAAAAATTGAAACGGGATTTTGATGATGGGGAGCTGGTGGTAATGCTTTCGTCCCTGAAAATTCTCGTCTCTGTCTTCAAGGTGAGGACGAAGCGGGAAACGAGTTTGTGAAAGAGAAAAAGAGTCTGTACGAAGGATCAAACACGTGGAACAAGGGGGATCGCGATGAGGAGGGGAAGGATGAAAAAGAAGCGATTGTGATGCTCCAAGAGTTGCACCGGGTCAGGATAAAACGGAATAGAACAAGGGGAACCCCACACTCGAAAACGAGTCCAGGTGCGTTTTTTTTTAAATCCCATCCGACTGCTGATTGTCCTCATTACAAGGCACCATTCATGAACCATAAATCGGATGCATCTATTATTCCATCACTGAAATTAATCCATAGAAAAATCCAACTCATTGAAATTAATTAATTAATTAATTAATTAATTTTTCCTCAATCCACCATTGTTCCACTATTTGCTGTAATCATAATAATTTTAGTCTTATCAAATTTACCTGTCCCATCGATTTTCCAGTTTTTCGAGAATTTTTGATGAATCATTGAGGGAATCGACAGAAAATTTTAATTCATTAATCAGAAAAAATGCCAATTGTAATCAATTATTCAGAAACTCGACTCGAACTTCAAATTAAAATCGTAATAGATATTATTTTAAATAAAAATTCGACGCGTCATTACCGCATGAATTTTTTGATTAATTCCATTGAAAATCATAATTGCGTGGAAATCTTTTTATAACATTAGATCAGAAAATAGTTGCGTACGCATTCCTGGAGGCGCCACCTCCTCGAGACCAGTACCATCTGATCCAGTGATCGAGTGACTCGAGTGCCCCAGGAATTCCACAAATTCCTCATTGAAATTCCCCGCGGCTTTCCAATCCATTCGGTGCATCAGCCAGATCCCCGTGAGTCTCTGATTTCAGTGATTGTCAGTAAAAAAATCAGTCACTAATTGAAAAAAAAAAAAAAATACGCATTGTTATCAAAGTGGGCGTCAAGGGCAGCTGTTTCTCTGCGCTATCGAGTGCGCATGCGCAATTGCAGTAGCCCGGGTGTTACAAAGTTTTCCACTTGATGTAATTAATTCGATTGAACGTCGAGACGTAGTGGAGTTTGAAATCAACGTTTGCAATTGAGGGAAATAGCACTGTCGCCACCTTTGATGCTGCTAATGAGCGATCAAACACGTGCGAATACACATGAAACGCTTTCCATGATGAGTTTATGAGTTGGGGGATTCGATTATCCGAGATTATGTATTTATCCAGACAGAGATGACTCGCTGCAATCAAAAATTCGGTTTCTATCCAATCATAATTATTATCATTCTTCTACAGCTCATTAAACTCAATTTCCATTCATGAAAAAATTCAGTTAAAACATCTGGCGAAATGCTTCGGGATAAGTTAGATTATAATATAAAATTGAAGTGCATTCGGTATTTTTAATGAAAAAAAAATTGTTTAAAACTCTGAATATAATTTTACTGTGGGTATAATTATCTGAGCCCCATGAAATTGCTCTCGAGACGTCAGATTCTCGATTTATGTAAAGATGTTGATTATTAGAAATAAAATCGATGATTTTATGAGTGTAGATCGACGATGGCTGGGAGTGTAATGAGATGTCTGAATAAAATTCATTCGAACCCCATCCCTGTGATATTCAGGAGTGCCAGCACCTCAAGGTTAATATTCCTCTCAATTAACCCGCGACTTTATCAAATCATCGAGTAAATCATTCTCAATTACTTCCAGTGCAGACTCGAGCGAAACTTTCGATCTAGTTGTAGTTGGGGGTGGAATAGTGGGTTGTGCAACGGCACGTGAGATGTTGGAGAGGCACCCCCAGCTTAAAATTGCAATTGTAGAGAAGGAAAATAAATTGGCAATGCATCAGACAGGGCACAACAGTGGAGTGGTGCACGCAGGAATTTATTACACACCCGGAAGCATGAAGGTAATCCCTTTAAAAAAAAATTCATCCAAATGAGCCCCGGGGTTGTGCAATTAAATTGAGTCCCAACAATTTTTGCCCTCAAGGGGAGGAATTTCACATTTTGCTTTCTTCTGAAAATTATAGTCCTATCGATTTTTAAATATCATTTTTTCCATCAATTTTTCCCTGGGTTCAGGCGAAAATGTGCGTCGAGGGCCTGAAATTGTCTTACGATTACTTTGGAAAGCATAATATACCGTACAAGAAGGTGGGAAAGCTGATTGTTGCTCAGACACCTGAACAGGTCAGCAGGATCAAGGATTTGTATGAACGGGGACTGAAGAACGAGGTGCCAGGCCTGGAGATGATCGAGAAGAATGAGATTTCGAAATTTGAGGATAAATGCAAGGTAGTTCTTCATTTTTTTTTAGTTCTACAAAATATACAAAAAATACAGATCATGAGATTTGATTTATAAAAAGGGAGAAAAAGCAATTTGGTCGCCATCGACGGGGATCGTGGACTGGGGAGAAGTCTGTCGTTTCTTCGCCTCGGAATTTGAAAAAATGGGTGGAAAAGTTATTCTGAACAACGAAGTCACCGGCTTCAGAGAGAATAACGAGTCCAAAGGGGGTCAAGGGCTCTCACCAATATCCGTTCTATCAAAAAAAGGGGTAAACGTGAACTCGATTTTAATTGATGTAATTATCCCCCGAAAATTAATTCACAGAATTTTTTTAAGGCCCTGCAAACAAAGTACGTTCTCACCTGCGCTGGTTTACACTCTGATCGTCTCGCGGTGATGACAGGCTGCGATCTGAGCCCGAGAATAGTCCCATTCCGTGGTGAATATCTCCAACTCAACGATAACAAAAAACACCTGTGCTCTACGAATATATATCCGGTGCCTGATCCAAGATTTCCATTTCTGGGTGTTCACTTCACTCCGAGGATGAATGGAGACATCTGGCTGGGGCCCAATGCTGTCCTGGCATTGGCGAGAGAGGGATACAGGTTATTGCATTTGATAAAAAAGATTTACTTGATAAAAGAAAATATTATCTTGTAAATTTTTGATACCCTGGGATCTCGTGATAAATCATTTCCCTCCCGCAGAGGAAAAAAACTTTCGGGAAGAGACTTTTCTGTCCCAAGAGAAGTTTTTTTTTCTCACCCTCCCTCACTTCTGTTCTACTCTTACTTGTTTGTAGAGTAGTGAAGATGAATTGGGTAATTTGGGTCAATGGGACTCGTGTTTTTCAGGTGGACCGATGTTAATGTTAAAGACTGCATCGAAATGGCCAAGTTTCCAGGACTCTGGAAATTGTGCTTCCGGTTCATTCTCCCGGGATTGAAGGAGGCTGGAAAATCTATTTTTTATCCACTCGCCGTTAAGGATCTTCAGAAATTTATCCCTGAGATGACTTACAAGGATGTCAAGAGGTTCGTGCTCTCTCAATTCCAAATATTCAAGTGTTTCATTTTTAGTCATTCAATTCCTCATAATTGCATTAAAATTATTTTATTTCTCATAATCTTTTCCGCTAGCAATTAAGTCTGATATTTTTCATCATTCAATTTGTCAAGTAAATTGGAAAAATTTCCAAAAAAAATTCCGCACGTCATCGAAATAATTATTTTTAATGAAGAAATTATTGTTGCTTACACATAATTCCTTGAGCAATTTTCGGGATATTCAGTTCCTGCAATATGCAGTCATTAAATAATTATAAAATTTTCTATAATAAAATCGTTATTCACTGATTTTATCCAGAGGACCGGCAGGTGTACGAGCCCAAGCGATGGACAATGACGGTAAATTGGTCGACGATTTCGTATTCGATAGTGGCGTAGGTAGCCTAGGAGGCAGAGTAATTCATTGCAGAAATGCTCCATCACCTGCTGCCACCAGCAGCATGGCAATTGCCAAATATATCTCCAACAAACTCGAGAAGGACTTCACATTCTGAGGTCAAGAGCACCAATACTCAATTCATTGAATAATGGTTACCAATGTACATGATTAAATCTGATATTTTTTCATCAACTCCATTCATTCCTTACGATCTAACAACTCCAGTCAATTAATTATATAAACATTCATGATATGTACAAATATTTACAAATTAGACTATTCTCACTCCTCTCATTGATAACAACAGACTTCTACCAGCGAAGTCCCAGGCTGCTGTCACGTGGAAAGCCATATTCGTCAAGACGACCATGTACTCGAAGAAGGCAAACATAGAATACACTGCAATCAATAAAATTACAATTGGATTTTAAAACAAAAAATAATACCGCAATGAGATTTAAAATCCGAAAGGATTAAAGACTCTCTAACGCGCAGAATACCCACCAAGAGGTTCACAATACGTATTGTGTCTCCAGAAGAAGTAACAAGCCATAAATATACAGAAAATATTGGCAGTCATTGCTCTCGTCTTCAAGACGTACGATCTCTGCTCATGGACGTCTTTCGACACAGACCTACAGTTTTTCTCGATGTATATCGCCAATCCCATGTGGACTATGGAAATGATGAGGAAAGTGATGAAGGAGAGTTTATGGAAAGCTAGTGAAGACAACGAAAATCAGAGGATTAGACAGGATAATTATTCAAGTAATTCAATAATAAATTCTGGTACAAAGTTGTAAAGTGAAATATTTTCTCGTTCGATCAATGAAATTAAATGGTTTCCCCCGTGAAAATAAATTTTATTCCAGCTTTACCACTTTATTACTGAATTCGATGATGATTCTGCCTGTTACCGTAATTTTCACTGGAAGTCCAGAAGCTCAAGGTCACCAAGGATATATTCTCCACAGCGTAAGTGAACAAAGCAGCTCTGCTGACTCCCTCAGCCCATTTGGTAGCAATTTCCTTGTAGTAATAATAATAGAGAGTGAAGATTATAAACCGATTGACTGCCTGCATGGCAATAGCAGTCTTCCAGATATTCTTCTGAGGCGTGTAGTTACCAATCGCAGCTGATATTGATGGCAACACGTTATAGACCTGCCAGATTCCATCAGAAATCTCATAAATAATTTTTTCTCTGTTGAAAGTCTTGATAAATTAATCATACCTGACAGTGTGTGAAGGTCGCATGTTCAAAATTGTAAAGAACAGACCAGAAAATACAGAACAGAAATGCAAAAAACGGTAGAGACACTGTAACCCACGCAAATTTCGGTAGAGAAATTACGATTCTATAATTCTGACTGTAATCTTCACCAATTAATGGTGTATAATGAGATTCCCTTCTCATATTCCTCATTTATTTATTTTAAAATCGCTGGAATTTTAAAGATCCTCCAAATAAATAAATAATTTCACAAATCTCTCACTAGACTTTGATCACTGACACTATCAATTCGTCACTAAAATTCCGATTCTCATGCCCGCCCGATCCCTGAGTCATTGAAAATTCATTTATATCTCATACTTCCGCTGTGACGATTTTATAATAAATCCGATAGATTGTTATTGCACAAGAATTATCGGCGTGCACATGAAATAACCTCCAACTCTTGTATTGTTTGTTTTCATCTTATCGTATGACTTGGACGAATCTTTTTGCTGCGAGATGTCAGCAGCTGACGCGTTTGGAGAAATCAGCTGATCGGTTTGTTTGCTTGCAGAACCAGTGAAATTCTTCTACTCCGGTTCGTTTGCCCTTTTTTGCCGTAATTACCACGTTAATCACCACTCAGTCAAGTTAATATACCGTGAATTACATAAATAATTGAAGTCAAAGTGTTTGTGCGGTGTGTCGAACGATTTATTTGACAGTGGGTGGAACTCCCAGAGATAAAGCAGTGGTTGTGAGGTTATTCTGTGACTCTGGGAATTTGAATTAAGCAATCAACCTGGATAAAGTGATTTACTGCTCTCCTCGAAGGTTTACATCGTCTCCGAGAAAATGTAAGTAATGACTATCTCCCGAGGCATCGAATAATTGAACATTTTCTAAAATACATACACATCGCATATACGAGTTAAAAACCTAAAATAAAAATCACTACGAGATCTGCTCTCGTTTCCTCAATTTTTTCATTATTCATTTCGTCATGGTTTGACAAATTATTCGAATTGTTTTATTGCCGTAATTTTTTTTATTGAACTCGTAAACAAAGTTGCGGCCCATTTGTTGGAGTATAAATTTTGGAGTGATCTGCCACGTGCAGCCAATTCCTCAGCGATTTAACGCTGCAGTCCATCACTCAGTAAATTATATACATTTGGCTCTCGATATTTGGCTTATTGCAGTGGCACAATCGTCAATCTTTTTGTCCTGTTATGTTCATCGTGCCGGATCTTCTGTTCTCCATGCCAAATCCAATACGTGCCATTTCGAATGCGTATCAGTTCGAATCGATATATCGAGAAAAGAAATGTCAAAAGGCAACTGTTGTTTTACTATCTTGCAACAGTAATCTCAAATTTCAATCACAACTGCATACGTTGTGGTCTCGTTCGAAGGGTTTATATCGCGTAATTTTTTTAATTTCCTCAGAAAAACAAAATCAGCAATTCTCAAACTTCCCAGGAAATAATTAATTGATGAATTAAAACATTTCCGCGTCCATAGACTGTGAATCAAGTCGCAAAAATGCGAGATTCAAAGAAATTAATTCCGCAAATTAACTCTCGGTTGGGATTTTTCATTGTGACACATTTTTCTTCATGTAGCAATGAATTTCTAGACAAAATCCTCCCCTTAATAAATGACTGGCGCCTGAAATCTCAGTGACAATTTACTCAGCCCTTATATACAACGATACGTGCACTGCATTTTGTTAAGTGCTGAGACAGTTTTTCCCTCGATTTTTTGGTGGTTCCGGATGGAATACATAAACCCAAATGTGCATTGGCTTCGGTTTACACGACATGTTTAAAGTCGCCAGACGCACTGCGTCGAATATTATGCCAGAAAACAGGCCAGTATTGTACAGAGAATTTATAAATACGTCGTTTCTTCTCTCATTGTTCACCAGTACCTTGAGAAAGAGCGTGGAATTGTTTCACAGCCATCGGAAATTTATTTTCATTGCACACCGATTTTTCCAACAATTTTATCATCTAAAATCCAATATACCATAATTATTCAATCAATAATTTATATCCAATAATTTACAAATGATTAACAAGTCGTAATTAAAATCAAATTAACGACTTTTCTGGTTGTAGATCTTGTAATTTTTATAATGGATATATTTCTGGGGTAATTGTTTGTTAATTAAATTATTCTCTTTCTGGCGATCAGAGTTATTTCCCTTTGTCAAGGTGTTTCAATTTAAAAGGCCATCCATCTATCAATTTGCAAGTCTCCATCGTACAGTTTGTACTCCAGTGGGATGAGCACCATATGGCGGATCGTATTATTGACACAAACCATTCCACTCATGACAAGCATTTGGATTCATATAGAACTGTCAATTATAACTGTAACCAATGCCCTTGAGAATTACCTGCGGAGTTATTTACGTACCATTCAAAGAAATTCCCGTATTCCACAGAAAAAAAAATTTCTCAATCGAAATTTCAACCTGATTACATCCGGACTTTTCAATCGGTATTGATTGTAATAATTCTGTTTCAATTTCAAGAATTTCTCTTGTTTCTCTCAATTTTTTAAAGTAATTTGTCCTCGGGATTGATCAATTCGACGTTCTCCAGTTATTCTACTTCCATTTAAAAATAAACCTCCGCTGATTGTTTCGAGCTTTAATTATTGTCACTCCAGCTCATCCCTCAATCGAATATTCCCACCCATTTTTTTTATTTATTCTTGTAATAAGGACGAAGGTCGTGGCATCAAACGAGGGTAGCCTATAGCTCGACAATGAACGAGGAATTGCGACATTGAGTTGCTAACAACGAGTGCTAGTGAAAATAAAAATTCACACATGCACTCTCTACCATTCAATCCCACCCTTTCACCTATCTCCATTCCCCAATGGATCAATGATCAATCAAGAAAGGATTAATCATCCCTGAATTCCCCAAAAATTAATACAAAAGCCAAAAAAAATTCAATATTCAATTCAATTAAAATTCGAGAATAGATTTATTCAAATTACACATATTTATTACTATGATATTAATTTCAAGTTTTAATATCGCAAGATGAAATTTTTGCGTAAAATTTTTCATCGGTCGATGAATCACCGGAGAAAATTTATAATTGCGACCATTTGTCATCAGCCACTTCCGTTTTACTGGAGAAAGAAATTTCAAAAGTAAACGAAGACGACTTGACGTCAGTTGCAGGCGGGATACATCGCGGATGTGACGTTGAATCATCATCAATCCCCATTTGATCCTCGGATCATTAGTTTCCGGAGGTAAAAGATCATGAGGCTCGAGGTAATCAGGAAAACCGATTACTGCGAATTTGTTATAATTTTTTCAATACCCAGATTAATTTTTCGCGAATCGATAATTTACGTCAAGAGATATTCCTCGATGTTCATCAATTTTTCTATCACTCGCGGAATTCCCGGAGAAAATCAATTGCAATCACTCGCCAATGAAAATTATAAGATATTACAAATTACTCCAAACATTCCGAACGCAACTAAAATTATTATTATTATTATCGAAATAATAAAATAATTTCAATTGCTGATAAAAAAATGGTTAAATTTCGTGCTGCACATGAAATTTCATCTGCAGAAATAATTTTTTATCAGTGATAAAAGTAGACTCGACGGAATCGTCAGATGAAATTAACAAAATATATTGCTACAGCAGGAATATAATTATATGTAGGAAGCTGTGTACCGTACATATGTACTTGCGTTAATGTTTTGGCGCAGGCGCGACATTTGCGTGACAATCCGCGTGGCGCGTGAGTTAGAAAATTTAGTGAAGAGACTTTAGTCGTGGCCCGTATCTCATCGGTTATAGTTCTGTACCCCGAGTTGTACGTCAAGTGGTTGAATAAATAAAGAGGACATCTGGACTGACAGCAGCTGCCAGAAGGAAAACATCCGGAGAGCAGCATGCTGAAGACATCTGATAAACAGAGGGATGAGAAACATCCGAAGATGTGATACAACTTCAGTGGAGTTTGAGACACCCGGATCGAATGAGATGGATCAGGTCAATCAGTTGAATGAATTGATGATTCAGCCCCTGAGGAAGATCAATCAGGTGGCCGATGACAAGGGTAGAACAACGACCGCTCAAAAACGATGGAGAATGCTGGCGAGGGCCTTGACTCGTTCACCGGAACCTATCGAGCCTGAGGATGTTATATCTGTGAGGAGATTCACAAGTTTCAATCTCATTGAGCCAAAGATCATGCAGAATGCACCAGCTGATGATAAATCCACCTGGTACGAGTACTCGATTGGTCTCGATCGTGATCTATATGCTGTAGAAATCAGGAGAATCAACAAGACATTCACTGCCAATGAACTCATCGGCTTCAACAACACGGGAAATGTTTGTGTCTGGCCGTCTGAAGAGTGTCTCGGTTATTACTTGCTGAAGAATCAGAGGATATGCCGAAATAAGACTGTGTTGGAGCTCGGTGGTGGGATGAGCTGTCTTGCTGGTATAATTGTTGCCAAATATTGTGGACCATCCGGTGTTACATTAACAGACGGAAATGTCACGAGTGTCGACAACGTTAGGTGTATCATTGCCAGAAACAACATGGCTGATTTTGTTAAATGCGGAGTGGTGCAGTGGGCCAGGGCGGCTAATGTCTTGAGACAAGCTGCCAATGGCAATCGGGCACAGGTATGTCTTTGGCAGGGCCATAACATTTTTACCAATTACGAGGGACAATGAGATTTCGAAATTTTTGGCAAACTCCTCGTGGCACCAGGTCGAACTGTCGACGACTATTTCGATTCACATTTTTTTTTTCACCCTCGTCTCGTAAAAATTCTGATTAAAATCATGAAATTATTGTGACAGCAAGAAAATTTCAACTTCACATCCAATTATTCATTTTATTTATTCGCAATTTCCGGATTGCTGTTATAATAATTTATTCAGTCTTACTCTCGCACGGGATTATGTATTAGGATGAGAATTACACGTGTAAATTGCTGGTAAGACAATATTCTCAGATTGACTTATGATGAAATCCAATTAATGCAGACATGGAGTCCCGAGACGGTGGACGAATCCCGGCGAACTGAGGGCTTGTACGACGTCATCCTCAGCGCTGATTGTCTATTTTTTGATGACGTACGTTTGGATCTGGTGGAGACGATATACGGATGGCTAGCTGACGATGGCATTGCACTGATAATGGCACCAAGACGTGGTATGACATTCCAGATGTTTGCGGATGCTGCTGTTAAGAGGGGCTTCCTGGCGAGACAAATTGAACGGTATGACGCTGAGGTATGGGCCAGACACCTGGAGCTGGGGGATAATTGTAACGAGTACTGCGCAGACATACATTATCCCGTTTTACTGGAATTAACGAAACAGAAGAAAACACCCCCCGGCTGAGTGATCACCTCAATCAAGAGTAATCTGATTATTACACGGAGATTAAAGTTTGATTAAAAAATATTCAAAAGCAACTTCCGATATTAATTGTTTCTCCGATATATTTTTTTTTTCTGCTTTCTCCGTGTGGGGCGATTGCTCTAGATTTATTCGAAATTGTAATCCGATATTTTAGGGACAAAGTGCCTGATGGAGTCGTTGAAAATCTATCGGGATATTTGATCGTTTAATTATGGTAGAGTAATGATACGTATTTACACCCTGGGGTCTACTACCGAAAGATTTATTCTACTGTTGATATGGCCTTTAGATTTGCTCGGCCTCTGTTGAAATAGCGAGTTGTATCCTGAGGGAGTTGTCAATGACTGGGAAATATCACTTTCTTCCTTATTTTACTTCTGGTATTCCTTTCCAATTACTGCGGGTTCAATTATTTTTTATTCAGTGAATATCTCAGGATTTACGGGAAATATCGAGAATTTTGTGAGGACCTTTTTTGTGGGGCTAGTTATCGTCTATAAAAAAGGTTATTATTAAAATTTCAATATCTCTCTTCTGTTCGGAGATATTTATCGAAAATTCGGCGGATAGCCAAGTCCTGATGTTTAAACTGTTTTGCCACTTTCCTGTTCGGGTAATGAGTTTTATTTATTATTGTTCAAGTTTTTTGCGAGAATTATCCGAAAGTCGATCCCGTCGAGAGGACCAATTCTAGTTAAGTCTAGTCATGTAATTTTAAGAAGTATTTAGCTGGATATCCGATATTATTGGAGAGATTATGTAAGATTTATGAATGTTTATGAATAAATGGATTAAATTATTTTGCATTATTAATTCTTTGATTTTGTTGGAGTGACCTGTCCAAATGTGATCAATTTGTCCCGGGGAATTCAAACTCAAACATTTGTTGTGTGCAAGTTTAATTGGCTTTGTTTCATTAGGTCGACCCTGACCTTCGACTTTGCTCCACGTCATGGGCTTCTCAGCTTTTGAATACCTGAACTGCGGTTTTCTGAAAAGCTAGAAGCCAGACACAAAAAAAAATTGTTTGCACAATTACCGAATGCCCGGACTGAACCCCAAAAATCTTTTGCAGATTCCTCTCGATAATTCCCTGGTGTCTCTCAATTTTCATAAATTAATCCATCATTTTTCCTGGTAAACCCCTTCGTTTGTCAAAAAGAAATCAAAAGAAATTCTTTTTGAATTAAACTCCCTGTCGTAAATTCTTAAATTGTAAATTGTTTGGCCATTCTCTGCCAAAAGTCATTTCAGACGCTTCAAAAACAAATTCTCGTCAGATATCTCTCCCGCTCCATTTGTTATACTTCGTGTTATTTAGAGATTTTTTCAATGCTTGCAATTCCATCTGTGTCGTCTCGATGCAGGAGTAGGGAATGAATTCCATCGCAGAATCTTCGGGGAAAATTCGATGTTACGGTGATAAAATTACGCGCTTCGCTGTTCTGCTTTGTAAATGGGCTTGACAGTTTATTTCAGTTACTTGGCTTATGTCGTGTATCAAACCGTTCGGACAAGTGCATTTGTTTTAATTAGTACCGAGGGTCTCGACAAGACACTTCTGGGGATTTAATTGGCGCCGGTGGAATTTTCACGATTGCCTTCAGTATTTGTCATTATAATTCAGGGTCTCCAGTGAAATATTCTAGAGGCATCATTTTCCCGCAATAATTTTCATTACGAATTAATAATTTTATTGATTCTCGGATGATTACACACCAAATAAATTTTTTTTTTCTTTTTTTGACGACAAAATTCCCGGAAATTTCACGGAATACATCAATTTAAATAAAATGCTAATTTTTGCAATTATCCCTGGAATTTTCATAAATTTCGCGAGTGTGCTTTATTTATTTACGAATAATGAATAATCAACAGAAAAATAATGACTTCGAATTTCGATTTTTTTAATGAGATTTCATTTTTTACTTCAGAACATAAATCTGTGGAAATTCCCAGGAATCATCCGTGAAAATTCTTGACAGTGTAAATAGGATTTTCTCATCACAAGTGCGTCAGTACTCGGTACTAGACAATATCAGAATCATTTGCGAATATTCCAATTCCCACAGCGGGAAACCGCACACACACAAGGGGATAATCAGCCAGTAATTTATTGCTCAGCAGATGGTACAATTCCGATCTGCACTTCCATTTGTTTACATTGGTAGTTATTCTTTCTGGTTTAGAGACATTAAACATCTCGCACTCAACAAGAAATAAATCAGCAATCCGATTTCAAAATTCCGCGCCTTTCCCCAGAAATAATTACTCCATCATTTATTATTATCTAAATTATTCGTTTCAATTCGATTGAAGAACTGAGAAAAATGAAGAAGAGCCGCTAATAATCGATAACAATTGATCTGATTAATGTTTGAAGTTTGATTCCGCGATTTTCATTGAGTATTCCTGTTTTCACTGGTGAAAATGAAGTTTCCGTGTACCTAATCTATCCATTACTCTAGGAATTGTTGGGGCTCTGTTTCACGTGGGACGTGACCCTCGGATATAACTTAATGATGCCTTTGTCAGTGCCATCGACCATACGCCATTAAACATTGCACATTGTGCGTGTACAGCACGTGCATGTCGTATGACCTAACGCACACCCTCTTCAACCCCACATCAAAGCAAAAACCCAATTGCCCGTTAAAATATCCACCCACACATTCCTAACATCTCCGTACACCAGTTCAATTCCCCCGTAGGTCCCCAAGACCCAGGAAAAATCAAAACGAATAAAGAAAAGAGAATGAGTTTCCATTTCCTAAGAACAAATCGTATGGAAAGTAAAAGGCTTCATTGAAAATTGATTAACTTTGATGCATTATTAACTCTGCATTTTTTTTTCGGTGAAATCAATTTTTCTGCTAGACTCTTCCCATTTTTATGGGCATTCGTACAAATCCTTGGCCTTGTTGGATGCCTCCACTGTATAAGTCATCAAGACCCTCGTAAAACTCCAGAATCACGTGATGCTGTAAAAGTTATGGGTGGACTTTTATTGCAAATAAAAGTATGAGTAAATACTAACAACTTTACGATTGCCAAGTGAATGCAAAAAATGACAAAGAAATTCTTTTGTCGAAATTTTTTTTATCTGTTTCCCGATTCAAAGGAGGACGATTAAAAATTAATGCAGATTTATGAAATCCTGGGCATTGGAATCCGATGAAGCACTTCCATTGTCCCGCGACCTCTTTTTTTGCGCAAAGCCCCAAAAAATTATCGCACGTTTCAATGCAATTACTGCAATAATTAAATATAAACTCGAGAAAAATAATTCAGCAAAATCGACTAAAGAGAAAATCAGCAGATTCATTCCTGAATAATGAAAATAGCGAGTTACCTCGAGTGGCAGTCGATACTGTCTCCGACAGCTGAGACCTTCTTTTGAATTGGATGGAGATTAGGATAGATTACACGTTCTCTCCTATTAATAACTCCGTTATTTATAACTCGATGAACTATAAATACTGACCGAATTTGACTGCATAAAATGAGTCTAGACAAGTACCGGACTGCATCTGATCGATAACTATTTTATTTAAATAGTTAAAGCCGAATGATTTTCGACCAGAAGCACCAGAAGACGTCAATGCGAATTTTCAGCTATGTGAAGTTGGTATCGAAGTTTGAAAAATCTAACTTTTTTTTGTTGGTTTGGATTGTACTCATTGAGTACTTGAATGTACCCTGTGCACTTTTTTTT